TTTTTATGCAAACATCTATTTTAAATATAAAGAGACGAGACGTTTATAGATATACAGTATATAAAAGGCGTTTACAATTAATAATTCATTTAATAATTACTTAATAACAATGAGATTTGTGTTTTGCGATTTGGATCATATATACGGCGAATACATTCATATAATATCGATATAATTAAAAGTAATCGATTAGATGGGAGGGGAGGGGGACGGGTAGGTGTAGGGGGCAGGGACTCGGGGTTTGATGATGGTATGTATTTATATGTGTGTTGTATATTCATTGTACATATACTGCATTTGTATGACTGAGGGGCTGAATAGCACTCTCAAGGCTTTTACAATTAAATATTGGGTATAGAAATACATGTAACTTATAATTAGACATAATAATTAACGGGTGGCCACAACTCCTGGTGCCCGCCGCCGACGCCGGGGGACGACGTGCTAAACGAATACTCAGTCTTCAGCGGTTGGCCGTAGGGCTGGGAGGGCAACAACATGGTCGGACCGGCCACCGTGGCGATGGGCCCGGTGGGGGAGGGACTGAAATAGGTGGCGCCGCCCGACGTGGTCACAATGCCCGGCGCCGACACACCGCTGGCCGCCAATTGTTCGGCACTATAAACGCACGGCGAGGGCGACGAGTGGTAGTACGTGGGCGGCGATGATGAGGGGCAGCCGCCGCCCGGTGTGCCGCCGGAGCTACTGGTGATGGGCGGGTGGTGTTGACCGCCACCGACTATACATGTCTGTCCGCCACCGGCGCCCACCAGCGAGTCGGTGGTGTATATGGCGTGCGGGGGACTACCGGTGCTGGTATAGTACGGGGAGCCACCGGTGGTGGTTGTGGTGATGGCCATCGGATCGCCGCCATTGTTGGACAGATAGGTGTCGGGCAGTCCGTGTTGGGGAGGGCTAGACGTAGACGTGGCGAACATGTTTACTGTGGGCCCCAACGACATCGACCCGAGCGGTGGCATATCGTACGTATAGGTAGGCTGTCCACCGCCGCCCCCACCGCCCCCTCCCATAGGATTGCCAGCGTTTCCCAGCGATGTGTAGCCGACGTACGGATTCTGGGCGTAGGGTTTAAGCGCCTGGCGTTTGAGTCGGAACCCCCGCGGGCGGCGCCTGAACGAGCCCTCCTCGAACATATACTCGCTGGACGGGTCTATTGTCCAGTAGTGTCCCTTCCCGGGCCTCCCGATGCCCTTCTGGAGCTTAATAAAGCACTCGTTGAGCGACAGGTTATGTCTGACCGAGTTTTTCCAGCCCTGGTATGAGCCGCGAAAAAACGGGAACTTTTGCTGCAAATACGTGTAGATCTCCGATAGGGTGAGCCGTTTGGCCGGCGATTGTTGTATAGCCATCACTATGAGCGCGATGTACGAGTATGGTGGTTTTTCTTGCCGCCGCACCCCTGAGCCCGACTTTTTGGTCGTCGATACGGTCTCGTCGGCCACGTCCATGATTTATGATGATGGTGTTATTGGTGTGGGTGGGTGTGTGTAGCACAGGTGTAGACCCGGTGCTTGTGGTGGGTTGCTGTCGATGGTGTGGGCGCACAGAATATTCTGGTCAAGAATATATCAGTCACTTTTGTTTTGGTCAAGTGTTTCAAACAATATCAGACAACTTTGTATTAAAAAAGTTTTTAACTTTTTGGTTTTAATAAAAGTCTGTCTCTCTTTTATAGCTCTCCCTTATACTCTCTCTCTCTCTCTCTCTCTCTCTCTCAATACATATCACTGCATGTCTTACTTATTACATAAGTCTACGGCTGGGCTCACAATCGTTTGAATACATGGCAAACACAACGCCAACAGATCACTGAAGCACTGAATGTATGCGTGTATTGACTGACAAGACATAAACCAGAGCTTTAACTCCGAGAGCGAAAAATGTTTGAGAGAGAGAGAGACTACCAGAAGATCTCTGGTTTTTATCGCTTTAATTGCTTTTCATTAAATTATCTCTACTTTTTCACTCCCCTCCTATGCTCTCTCTCTCTCTCTCTCTCTCTCTCTCTCTCCAACTCTCAAACACACAAACATTAACCAAATGACAAAATTTTTATTACTTTTTGTCTCATTGTAATTGACATCGAGTGCCAAAATATATTTAAAATTTTGCTCTGAGTTTTGATTTTTCTCTCCTTTTTTTGGCTCACAATTTGACGCTCTATTAGACGAGAGAGAGAGAGAGAGAGAGAGAAAGAGAGAGAGAGAGAAAGAGAGAGAGAGAGAGACTACCAGAAGATCTCTGGTTTTTATCGCTTTAATTGCTTTTCATTAAATTATCTCTACTTTTTCACTCCCCTTCTTTGCTCTCTCTCTCTCTCTCTCTCTCTCTCTCTCTCGTCGCAAACTGATAGGCATTTTTGATGGTTAAAGACTAATGGCTTGAAATCCGAAAGAAAAATACATTTTCTAACTGTGAGCTCTCGCGGCGTAACAGTTAGTGATAGAAACGGAGAGAGAGAGAGAGAGAGAGAGAGAGAGAGAGAGAG